GTTGGGTCCTCCAGGGTGTAACCTCAGGGTTGGTCCCACTCTAGGCCTGGACAGAGGAAGAAGAGGCAATTGTGTGTTTGCTGTATAGTCATCTACCCTCTTCCCCTCCTGTTTTAACTCTCTCCTCCACCTGCCCTGCCCTGTCACAAATTGGCCAAGTGCCCTTGCGTGCCAGAACAGCATGTCCGTCATATCTGGCTGAGCTTTCCAAAGATGACACTTCCACCCGTTCTCAGCATCGCAGTGACGCCCATGCTACCAGCGGGTAAAGGTGGTGACACCTTTCTAGTGCACAACACCCTGCCTTGTCCCCTTCCCCTCGTAGCTGTTAGACACATATTCAGAACCACATGGATCATCTCCGAGGACAGGATTTATCATCAAATACAATTACCCCACCCTCTGATGCAGCAAGTCAAACCTGATTTGATGTTTCCTCCTTGAAAGTAGCAATGGTGTGAGTAGTGATCGATGCTGGTAGCCCAGGAGGACACAGGACGCAGATGTTAGAGCTTTTGTGAAAGAGCAGCAGGACCTTTAATCAAGTAGAAGCTCCTTGCCATCCATCCAACTTTGTTATCCGGGTCTGTCCCTCGTGAAGGGAATCACCATAAATCCGTCAGCAAGTCCTTGACTTCAGAGGGATGTACTCCATCTCCCAGGGCATCTCCTGCCTGTCTCAAGAGCAGCAGGCATGAATCTCAATTTATATTTAATCGTTGGAGTGTCATCGAAGAGCTGCAGATGGAGAAGAGTTTGCAGCCAGCCGGGGCTCAGCTGGAGTAACTCTAGAAGAAACCCTTCCACCTGTTCCTGGGCTGAGGTTAAGGAAGGACGTGCCCCATACGTGCATAATGAAATGGCCACGTGGCCTTGCCAGCATCGTTGCCCACAGGCACGTTTTAGGGGCAGGATAATACGAGGTATGGGGCTGTGATAGGTTTGAACTCTATAAAAGAAAAATATACCATGTTTTTATTGTGAAGGGTGACATTGTTTCCCAGAACGACTCCGTTTCTCATCATGTCTGATCTGGCTAGGGCTGAATTCGGCCTTTCATAGAGACGTGGAGGCGACTTCGTGTTTAAAAGGTTATGATGATGGCTGTCGCTCCTCCAAGAGTCCTTGGTGTTGTGTTATTACAGTTCTGATTTGATAATACTGGGATGCACCATTCCAGGGAAATTATAAATGTGACCGCAAAAAGGAGAGGACGTTTTAAGATTTCATTCTAACTACTGGTTTTTGTGTGAGGCTTTTGTTGCTCCTGAGGCTCTGCCATGCAAACCTGGAGCATAGGTAAATCCTAAGAACAAAGGTAGACTTAATAGTAAATAATTGCTGCATTGGACGTGCTTATGCCCCCGTCTCCGCTGCGCCGCCCCGTCCCCATGCCAGCCACCGCCGTGCCTGCCCGTTGGCACAGGGGCTTGACTTTGCAGCTCCCTGTTGAGCAGCTTGGGCAAATACCTCAAAAGTCAGATGTCCTTACTCTATTTAAGCAACAAACTTAATCTGATATATTTATATCTGTAACGGTTTGGAGATGTGGTGGGTTGGGTTTTTTCCCAAGATGATCCCTGGTGTTTTTCCCACAGGGTGTCTCTCTACGATTGCTGTCGTTACTTAGTGGTTGTTATTGTTAAGATCCCATCATCTGACCCTTTATAATCCCCATATTGCATTACACTGCGTTGCTGGACATACTTGGTATATGCTACTGTTTGTCAATTTTAGACTGCCCCATCAAGCCTACGAGTTTCTTAAAAGTGATGCAAGGTTATGTTACACTCCGACTCGTTCCAGTTAATGCCTTGGTACTTGGAAATGCTATGATTGGTAATAAAAGGAAACAAATGCATTGGGTTTATAAGCAAAAAAAATGAAAGCCAACGTTACAGAAATTTCTCTCAAGCATTTGGCATCAGCATGTGTCCCATCAATTACCTTAAAAATAGAACACATTTGAAGTGTGGTTTGATGGCCTGCTTCACGTCAAATGGTGACACAGGGGTCTGCCTCTCTTGATATTTGAGTTGAAAACTTGTCAACCCTTTGCTTTCCAGAGAGATAGATTGGAATTTTTGAAGAAAATGCGAAAATGAGAAAAATCAATGAAGTGAAACAATCCTGCACAAGAGCCTGCTGGGTTTCATGAAAGAGTTCATCCATACGTGAGTACCTGCCTTAGAAAGAGTCAGCAGTAAGTATGAGTTGTTCATTACCCAGGGCAGACCTTTTCTTCTATCAGTTTGCAGATAAGTGCTTTTATTTAACACTTGTTAGGTATCTACCTAGCATGAATTTTGAGCTGCTACCCATAGGGATAGCTTGGTGAATGCTGCAGGTACCTCGTGTCTTCTGCTCCTGCTTTGAACATAGCTGCTGGCACAGCTCTGCCATTTGGTAACGAAGCACCTCATGCAGCAGCTCATTAGTCCGGGGATTCCTGAGCAAGTGTCAAATTGGCATGAAAATAGCAAGTGCTACCGATGGAAGTGGCTTTCCTGCTGTAATGAAGGTTGTGGAATGAGTGATTATTTTGGAAGGCTCCAAGGGGAATGCCCACAAACTTAATTGAGAAGAAGATGGGAGTTTTGTCTTGGAAAGGACTTCTAGATTTGGCCCTGAGTATGTCCCTAGCCTGGAGGGTGTCATTTGTTGCCTTAACGTGCCGTTTCCAGCACATTAAAACACTAAGCAACGTGTTAGAAAAGGAAGTGAATCCTGTACTCAAGGTAATTTATGGAGGAGACCTAAAGTAGGCAAAATGTGATACCCACCTTGGAAATCTGTGGGATTAGCACCCGTGTCACCAGGAGAGGTGTCACCGGGCAGCCCTTCGGTGACTGAGAAGGCATCGCTCCCAGAAGTGTAGTGTTTCCTAATCATGGTATCGACAAGTGATACATTTCTCCTTAGAAGAAAACTGGCCTTTCAAATACCCGAGAGTGTTCTCAGTATCCATGTTTTCCTGCTTGAGAGGACTTCATGGGTCTGACCCTACTTAGCTTAGCAGATCTGACAAGACCATGGCCCAAGATGGCCTGGCTGAAGATCATGGAAATATAAGAAGGTAGCCAGGGGCTTTATTTACAGTCAAGAAATTAGCAAGCGATAAGTAACCACTGAATAGACATCTTCTGTGACCCAAACAGCATCGTTTGGGAGAATAACATACCAGCTACCGAAGAGCATTGATTTATTTGATAACATCAGGAAACCATTTATGGACTCTATTATGGACAGCAATTGCTGGGGGTTAAAACTGTTAGACCAGATAGATTGATGTGTGGGTCTGCTGTTGTGCTTGCTACTGCATAATATAAAATAAGGATGTCCCCTGAAATACCAAAGGGGTAAACGGAGTCATTACATTCTTGGCTCAAGTTTTTGTTATTTTTTCCTTTACCACTTATTTCGTTCTTCAGTTTTTGCCCTCTTCCCCACTGTGTAACAGCATTAATTTAACGAGGACCTTTGGATAATGGCTTTTTAATAGAGGCTAACAGGGCTTTGAACACCATGTTTCTTGTTACAAAACACAGCAAAGAGAGACCATCATCATGTAGAGACTATTTTGCTACTGGCAGACTCCAGCAGAGCGTGGTTGAGACTGTAACAAGAAATATGGCTTAAAAATTGGTGGGGCTTGGCTTTATAGCCTTTCCTCTGTGGTTTCTTCCCCATGAAAGATGCATTCGCAGTTGCAAGACAAGGATTTGATTTAATATCCCCTGCAAAGATTATATGAAATTGTGAGAGGGAATCTTCCTAACCAAATGAGCAGTCCAAACTGCACTGTACTGAAATTGGTAGTTGGAAATTATAGTCGAAAAATTGCCCATCCGTGTTACTCTGCTTTAACGCAGCAGCCATGAGCATGGTGGTGTCAGAGATATGGCTTTCTGGTTTGCCATGTAAATTTAGGAGCCTATAAAATACTCTGAACAAAGAAGGAGGTACTTCCTAGCTGGAATAGACATGCAATGAAAATAAGAATTTCAGGCAATCTACAGTTACATCAGTTCTATGAATATCAGCGAAGTAAATCTTTGTAGTTGCTTATTAATTGTGTTTAAATAAAATAAAAATTAAAAAAAAAAAAAACTAGGAAAAGGATGAACCTGAGAAGAACTGTCAGCCAAGTTCTGTTGAAAGTGCAAATAACATCCTTGATAGAGACAGGCCAGTCAAGAAACAGGGCGTTGGCATTGCCCCTGGGCACACTGGATGGGAGCAGGACATGGACGTGCTGTGGGAAACGCTCCCTATGGGGCTGCTCGGGCTGATTCAAAGGGCTGGTGTCTGTCCCTGCCCCAGCCTCTGTCCCCAAGCACAAGGTGTGTGTTGTATTGACTGTTCACCTGCCTTTTTCCATCTTGGAGGATTTCACCTTAGCCAGGATCTGGTGTTCCGGAGCGCTCATCGGTCACACGATGGCTGCACTCCCACCAGAACCTCCTGCAATATTCAGTCAGGCTTTAGACCTGGCTAAAGGCAGCAAAAACCTGCAGTCCCCAGCCCTGCTGAGGTATCCGGATACAGAGACCTCACTGCTTCTTCCCGTGGTGCAGAATTTCACCTGCACACCCCACAGGTACCATTATGGTCAGTCCCTCCACACACGAGGGGCAGTGCTGAAAGGCGCAGTGCTCTGGGAATCCTCTAGAAAAGGGCCTTCTCCTGCCTTTCCTCAATGGGGGACGCACCAGCTGCACTGAAATGTCAGAAGGGTTTGCACAGCTGACAGGTTGCTGAAAATGGACCATGGCAGCATCGCCATAAATTCTCTTTATCCAGCCAAGTGCAGCTTAATATAGACTTAGCTGCACAGTCTGTCTCCCACACTGAGACCGAGAGCTGCCACAGCTCATGACCAAAACATGAAGTTGTCGATTTAGCCAAATGAACTACTGCTAGTAAAGGAAAAAAAAAAAAATCCTTTAAGATTTATCTTTAGGTTTAAAAAGTAGTAGAGGAAGAAGAGAAGAAAGAATATGTCTGAACTCAGCCAAAACTCTGATGAAGAAGTGTGTCCTGAGGACATTGATGAAGATGAAATCCTGGCAAACCTGTCCCCTGAGGAGCTAAAGGAGCTGCAGTGTGAGATGGAAGTCATGGCCCCAGACCCCGAAGTCCCAACTGGGATGATACAGAGGGATCAGACGGAGAAACCCCCCACGGGGAGCTTCGACCACAGGTCCCTGGTTGACTACCTGTACTGGCAGAAGGCATCGAGACGCATGCTCGAGGATGAGAGAGTTCCCGTCACGCTCTTGCCCTCTGAGGTAACAAGCGAAAAATCACAAATATTTATTGTGCATCTGCTGTGGGATCTGTTTTATAGCTTTAATACCTTAAACTGCCTCTGCTCCCGTCCCTTACGTAAGCCATGGTACAAACAATTTTAAATTCTCCTTAAAAGCCTCAGTAATGTCAGGATCCAGCTTGAACTGATGTCAGGCTTAGTAATTTTTTAATTGCTTTTCCTAAAAATTTACTTGAAGTTTTTTAATATAAGAAAATCCTAATTCTGTTTCAGTAAAGCAAATCACGGAGAAATCGTCATAAAATCAGTTTGGAGGATGTAACTCAAATTTGTGTGACTTTGCGTACAGAGCAACACTGTATTGCTTTTCCATAGAAGATGACATTAATCGTATGTATTAAACTAAATAATTGACAGAAATGAATGTCACACTGGACAAAAACCCAAACCGCTGTATTTTAACAATGTAAAACATTCATTAACAACCAAGCATGCAAACTAGTCCAGCCCTTTTCAATACAGTACTGAAATTTATTTTACTATCTCTATGACTTTGAAATAAAGTTAAGGTCATACTTAGATATTTTTTAGGATGAAGGCCACACTTAAAAATAGGTTAATAGAATGGAAACTTGGCTAGATGAAACACATCCATATCCGAACCAAAGTGAATTTGAAGTAACTGATTTTTATTTTTTTTAAACGCTAATGGTTCTGCTAATACAGAGCAGCACAGTACGCCACGGACATGGCAGGTTTCCTGTGCTGCCTCTGGAAAAGGGGGCAAAATCTGTGGGTTTTTACCTTCTGTAACACTCTTACCCTCAAAGAAACAAAATTTTTTTAAAGCTTTGGAGGTTAAATCTGGAATTTGAGTGTAGAGCCGCCTGCTGCATTCACAACTGGTCAAGTGATACCGGTGCTAAACCCATCCACCACCACAGCAAACAGGAACCACAGCCCCAGGGACAGAATTGACTTTGCAACCCTTTTGTCTGGCTTTTGGTGAAGCACAAGACATGACACCGCCCTGCCTGAACTAGTGCAAATCTTTTAAGAAAATACCTCAATCTTTATCAGGGCTTTATTAGAATTTCTCAGTGATGGAGGATCCACTGCAAAAAGATGCTTGGAAAAAAAAAAATCTCATCTAGGAGGGTCTCTGGAGACGGTGGAAGTTTGCAGCTAATTTTATTTGGATGCTTTAAGCCCCACTGCCTTGCAGCAGCTGTGTGCAAAATCCAGTTTCCTATCTCTGGACTGAAAATAAAGCAAAGCTAATATTTTGCTTTATCTTCAGTGATGTGCTTCCTTAGCTGTGATGCTCTGGCAGGTAGCAGAGCAGGCCTAGCCTCATTGTCTCATGTGCTGGGTGACACTGCTGTTACGATGTGCGCCCTTCTCTCCTCCTTGGGCTGAGCAAACAGTCAGTGGTCAACACTGATTTCCAATGTTTTGTGGCATACGAAATAAACTTTCTCCCTCATCAAGGAAACGATAAAAATTACACAAAATCCAGACACAAACTTTGAATCAGACGCAGTTAATCCCCAGGAGGGTTCAAGGACCACCTTAATATAGCATTAAATACATACAGGATTTAATTGTCAGGATTTAATTTAATAGGCAGAGATGAGAAACTGGTTTGCAGCCACTTTAAGAGCAATCGTTCCTGTGTTCCCAAGCAAGCCAGCACAGCCCTGACTTACAGGTAATGACGCTTTTAAGGCTTATTCTATAATTTATGGACACAGAGGTGTCTAAATCCAGCTGCTACATGTTTATTTGAGCAGAAAGTTCATGTAACAAAGCTGCCTTCAATTACTTCAGCTGTGAGGTTTTGTCTTCCTCAGAGAAGCGCTGCGGAGGAGACAGAAGGAAAGGCCGGTGGCGGCGGCGAGGTGCCCGGCGGGAGGATGCCAGGAGCAGAGGGGAAAGAGAGACACTACCAAAACGAGCACTTGTCCAACTCAGGAACACAATTTGGGGAGACAAACAAAGGCAGAAGTGAAAAAGGGACAGAGGAGAAGGAGGAGGAGGAGGAAGAAGCAGAGGAGGAAGATGATGAAGAGGGGGATGGAGAGGAAGATGAGACTGAATTGGAAACGAAGGAGACTTACACCAATGAGAACTGTCAGAGTGATCAGATAAGTGAGAAACCAGGTACAGAATCAGGAGAAATCACAGAAAAAACAAACGAAAATGAGAAGAAAATATCAAAATTAAACATCCCCAAGAAGTTAGCACTGGATACCAGCTTTATGAAGCTAAGTGCCAGGCCTTCGGGAAATCAAACCAATTTAGAAGAGAGTTTGGAGAAAGTCCGAAAAAACAACCCGGACATGAAAGAGCTCAACCTGAACAACATAGAAAACATCCCCAAAGAAATGCTGATAGACTTTGTCAATGCCATGAAAAAGAATAAGAACATAAAAACGTTCAGCCTCGCCAACGTGGGGGCCGACGACAACGTGGCGTTCGCGCTGGCCAACATGCTGCGGGAGAACAGGAGCATCACCACGTTGAACATCGATTCCAATTTCATCTCTGGCAAAGGGGTGGTTGCTATCATGAGATGCCTGCAGTACAACGAGACGCTGACGGAGCTCCGCTTTCACAACCAGCGGAGCATGCTGGGCCACCAGGCAGAAACAGAGATCGCCAGGCTGCTGAAAGCCAACGCCACCCTCCTCAAAATGGGGTATCACTTCGAACTGCCGGGCCCCAGGATGGTGGTGACCAACCTGCTCAGCAGAAACCTGGACAAGCAGAGGCAAAAGAGGCAAGAGGAGCAAAGGCAGCAGCAAATGAAAGAGCAGAGGGAGTTGATAGCGATGCTGGAAAATGGACTTGGGTTGCCTCCTGGGATGTGGGAAATGCTTGGGGGACCGCTGCCCCAGCCAAGGACGCATGAACCCCCGCAAGCCCCGAAACCGCCCGTCCCAGCGGCTGTGTCTCTGAGCAAAAGGCAGGAGAGCGCGAGGCAGCCGGCCCCCGAGCAGCCGCACAGGGAGAAGACCGTCGGCTTCAGAACGATCAAGCTGAAGAAGATCCAGCGCAAACCTCCTGTGCCGGAGTACGTGGAACCAGCCGAGAAAACCAACCTCAAAGATGTCATCAAAACGCTCAAACCGATTCCCAGGAGAAGGCCACCTCCCCTCGTCGAAATAACCCCGAGGGATCAGCTACTAAACGACATTCGTCAGAGTAACGTCGCTTATCTTAAGCCGGTAAGTGCTCGGCCATGGTGCCGAGGGGAGGGAACCGGGCTCACTGGCGCTCCGGAGCCATCCTTTGAAACGTTGGCTGTTCGGTGGGAATTGCAAACACACCCGCACACTGTGCCTCATCCTTTTTCTGCATCAGGCTGCCGTTCCTGGGATGCCGGTGGCTGTTTCCCCCGGCAGCACTATGGTAGGGCTTGCACAGAGGAATGACAGCAAGCGCCGAGGCTGCAGCCTCGCGCATCCCTGTCTGCATCCATAGAGGTAAAAGAAAGGAAAAGCACTCAGGAGGTAAACAAAGCCACAGAAACTCAATGCCAGCATACTAGTAGTAGCGTATTAGTTACAACAGACAAATGCTATCCTAAGATGTTTGCTTCGGGAGAGCACGAGGAATTATTTTTCATGTTAGTCTGCCCTCAGCCCCCTGTAAAGACCACGTTTCTCTCCAGCAGCCGTGTTTTTCCTTAGCCCTCACTTTACACAAGAAAGCACCGTCACTTGGCCCGTTGGTCAAGGGTAAACTGAAACACAGGCAGCAAAATAACTTACCAAGGTCACTGAAGAAACTGCACAGAGGCAGGAACTGGATTTCCATGCGCTGGCCACACTCCCCCACCTCCACCTGAACCCGCTGTGGGTTCCCAGGCCCCCGGGGGGAGTAGCCATGCTCCTTCGGCGCTGCTCCAAACCCGCCGGCCCAAGGCTGTGGGAAGCAAGAAGGGTCTGCGGTACAGTCGTGGTCTGGGACTGCCTTCGGTTGGTCTGGTTTAAATGGAATTCAAAGCTTTAGTGTGAAGGGGAAGTCCCAAACTGCAGTAACTGTGATAACTGCCTCGTGGTGATGCTCTTACCTGGGTACCAGATTCACGGGCCACTTCTCAAAATGCTGGCAACTAGATTTAACCTTTTGCTTTCCTGAAATGTTATATTTCTTTGCATTGTACTGTTATTCAAGAAATACTAAAAGCTTGGCTGATCTATTTGTAGCTAGTGATGTTGATGCATCTGTTTGTGTTGCTAAGGCTAGAGGAAGAGGACAGAAAATCCTTTGCAACTGAAAACGGTCAAGTAGTATTTTGTAATTCATGTTTTGTTTGATATTGACATTCTTATATAGTGGGTCACATTTTGCTTTCATTTATACCTACACAGAACAATTCTTTCCAGAGTAATTCTAGAGATTTGTCCTGAAATTTTGGCAGGGGCAGGTCCTGCAGTGATCACTGACTCTGGTCCAAGTTTAATATGGCTGTTCTGCCCCAGAACTTGGTCTGGGGCTGTGGTTTCTGCTGGCCAGTCCAACTTGGCTGCAGCCAGGGCCTCTCCTCAAGGCATTTCTGGCCTTTCTAGATCTCGGCTTAGGTTTTGCATGTCGGTGCCATGTCTAAGATGACAAGACCTGCTCTTGTAAAGGTCACAGTTTATCTTTTCACGCTAAGATGGTGCTTGTGACAGCAGGTTGGTCCATCACTGCTGCTGGATCTGCTGCCTCCCCTCCTGCTCAGGAAGATGGAGGACCATGGTGGCGGCACAGCCCTCACTTTGCATAGTGATGATTAAGAAATCCGGGTGCTGCTGGGTGCCAGGGAGCAACAGTGAACCCCAGCCATTCCCCCAAAAAGCCTTGGGAGGTTTTTATAAATGAGGGCTGTGGGGTTTGGGGTGGAGGGGTCAATTCATGGTCTATCTTAAACAGACCAGGTAGCAATTGCTATCACAGCCCATGGAAAGGTGAAGCAATGGACACATGTTGGAGTTTTGGAGTTGTTGTTTCGTGGTTTTTTGGGGCTCTGTCATTGAGCCAAAAGGGCTTGGATTTGGGGCATTAGGGCTTTACTCTCACACGTCTGTATGATCTTGGTAACTCCCTATTTGCCTCGACATCTTTAGCTTCGTCTCTAAAATCAGGTTTTACTGCTTGAGCTGAGCTGCGAGTTCGTTCGCTCTGTGGTGGGACTCATTGCTTGCAAATTGATTTCCTGGGCATTAAGAATCGCAAGCAGCAAGTGGGGAATTACAAACAAAAGAAATTCCCAACTTGAGCTCCTTGGAGCTCCCAGTTATTATGTTTTTGATCTTTTTATAGCTTCTGAAGGTTTGTATTAAACTAAACTGGTTTGGGAAACAAGACTGAGAAACTTCCTCCTCCTAATACTCACTGTCCTTATCCAGGTGCCATTGCCAAAGCAGCTGGAGTGAGAGACCAGACTGACCCAAAGAAAACAACTTGGAATAAAGACTATTCAAGTTTTGCCTACGACTGTTTCAGCAGATGTTTTCTGCAGAATCCAGGTGGTATATACGACTCTTTGGGAACAAAGCTTGCGATACACACTTCTGTAAGTGTGGTGAAAACTGCTGGCATGGGAAAAGTCAGTGCTAAGCATTTCCATCAGGTATCAAACAATCCCAGTGCCATCTGTCTGCCAAGTGGATTTGAGGCTCCAGTTTGTTGTGGGAGTATTTTCTCAGAGGCATCAATAACCTTGTCTTTCCCGTTTGTCAGCAAACTCTTTTGCTTTCACGTTGTCCTTCTGCTGCCAGATTCTGCAGGAACATGCTGTGCTTTATCTTATCTTTTTTTTCCACGCACATGCTCCTTTATTATATTTTCTTGTCCATGAGAAATGTACTTAGTTTCTGTGTATACAGCTTCATTTTTTAGGCTAAGGAAACAGAAATGAAATAAAGCACTCTCCATAAGACGCGTGCAGCACTTCCATGGCTAACAAGACACTCAGAACAGAACGGCTGCTCTGGTAGATCAAACACCTCAGCTTGATGGTTTCAAGCTATCTCTGTTTCAGAACATGGTCTAGTTGGTATTGTACCTGATTAGCACATAAAAGATGATGCCATGCTCTGCTTTGAGAGCTATAGTCTTAATTCCCTACAATTCATCTCTATCCATGATGTAATCCTTAATTACAGCCACCTTGGAGTGCACTGAAATGCCATTTCAGGTTTCTCTCCACAATACTCTTCAGCAGCAGGAGGATGACTCTCATCCTCCTCTTTGCCAGGGGTTTAATAAACTCGTCATTCCTCCTAGTACGGGGTGTGAATAGCACGTCTTCCCCCTGGCAGGACCACCTATGATGGGGTTAAACCTGCATATATACAGTATGTTTTCCTTAACATTTTTGTGAAACCTTTTCTTCTCCCCTTTTTTAATCACATTAGATGTTTTTGCTGCAAGTCTTTTTTGTAAAGCAGGTATGGGTAAGTCACGCTCTTGTGGAAGCCATCCACAAGAGACCAGTTGTTTTTAGTGATTTGTTTGTTTGGTGGGGTTTTTTACGTTTTTTTTGTTGTTGTTGTTGTTTTTTTAAAGCAAGCCATGCAAAGCTGTAGGCCATAGGGAAAG